GGCAGCTAATAGGAGGTGAGGCTTCGACTAAGGCCAGAGCTGAAGGAGCATCAACAGAGATGGGAAAGGAGCTCGAGTCATCCAGAAGACCTAGAAAAGAGGCGGTTGCTAACGATCAGGTCGTCAAGGCACATGAGCCGGTGGCTGCAAGATCTTTGGGGTCTTTCAGTTATTGTACATGAGGTTTGTTATGAGTTGTCCTTCCCCTACCATATTAGGTATCCCCTGGCACCTGGGAGAATTGAAATTTGGAGCATCCTTTTATCCTTGAGTGCCAAAAGGATGCTAGGGGGTCGGTCTTAGAGTTCTAGACTGACCAAACCAAAGCTGTTAAGCAATTCTTTCTTTTGAACAATGAGGCATTGCTACGTGAGACTTTCGACATCAGTCTTACTACGCTTTAGGCAGGCTACCCTCACGGGGGGGGGGGGGCTTTTTAGAGTTGAGTATTTCGACGACTCGAAATATATCAGGAGCTCTTCTTCAAGCTCCAACCCCATCTAGAGGTGTAGAAGGAGACTCGAGAAATGGTCGAACTGGCAGCTACCAATAAAGGCATCTTTATGAACTCAAGAATAGTCAGGCCATGGTAAAGTGCAAGTCGGCCCATAAGGATAAGGATCTTGAGGTGGCCTTGGCTAGTGATTGACATTGTGAGTCCCAGCTTATCAAGCCTAGGAGGAGATAAAGGGTCTCAAAGAGGATCAAAACCATACCCACCACGACATGGAACTCACCAAGGAGAAGATATCATATATCGAGTAGGAAATCCTGCCTGAGAAGAGGGAGAAAGAAGATGCCTTTGAGAGGGCTCATGCTGCTTGGCTTGACATAGAAGGGCTGCAGGTTAAGTTGAAAGAGGAGGTTACTCTTCAGGAGACTCTCTGATAGGAGACTGCTCAAGTGGCTAATGAGGCTAAGCTACAGTGCAACTCTCTCAGTGCCCAAATGTAAGAGCTTGAGACTTGGGAGGCTCATCTAGAGTTGAGCGCCTTCAAGATTGAGATTATCGAGAGATATTGTGGTGGTTACCTAGGAAAGTTCATTATCTGAAGTCTCAACTCCCTCCTGAGCTCTTATTGAAGGAGGACTAGTTCAAGTATCCTTCTCGAGTGGCGAACTACCTCGATGTTGTCAAGATGCTTGCGGTGCAAGGTCGGTTAGGGATAGTGGAGGAAGATGAGGAGGTTGGCATCAAATATGCTGGCGAAGACTCTAATGACGACTCTGACTCGCCCTCCTCATCTAAAGAGCCAGACTCCCCTCCTTTTGATGCTCTCGGTTCAGGTTCCCCTACAGATCACACTCCAAATTCTACTCCTTGATGATATTGTATCTTTTTTCTTCTTTTTCATTTCGAGTCTTTGTAAAAAAAAGTCCCGCAACATTTTTGCACATGCATGAAAATACTTAATTTTATCAGCCCATTCTTTTGTACTTAGTTATATGTTCTTTGATTTTTGAGATGTTTTCGAATGAGTTGGTGAGAATTGAGACGTGAATATTCTTGT